CTTGGTCCCACAATATATAAAAGGCCATTGCATGCTTCTGGGACTCTGACACACAAGGCAAGAAAGTGCTTGAAAAATGTTAGTCCCATTTGGAGGGATAGCCCACCAGACATCCCATCCAACCCCCAGTTCATATACCCACTGGGTGGAATTAAACTGTGGGAAAAGTTCCCTGTAGTCAGGAAGCCATACTCCTATTTCCTCTCTTCTCTCCTTTCCTTAGACTAGCAGGACAGAACACCAGGGCACCAAAGCTATCTTCTACCTCTTTGATAATATACTAGTCATCTTTCTTTTCATACTGTATTTTTTTTTTTAATGTTTATTTATTTTTGACAGAGACAGAGACACAGTGCGAGTGGGTTAGGGGCAGAGAGAGAGGGAGACACAGAAGCAGAAGCAGACTCCAGGCTCTGAGCTGTCAGCACAGAGCCCGACGCGGGGCTCGAACTCACGAGCTGTGAGATCATGACCTGAGCCGAAGTCAGATGCTCTTCTGAGCCACCCAGGCGCCCCTGTATTTTGTTTTATTTTAGAGCAAACTGGGTGAATTCCTTGCTTTTGTCTCCCCATTAGAAATACTGTTTCACTAACTGACTTGTTTCGTTTAGCATAACACATTCTAGTTCCTCTACATTGCAAATGTCAAGATTTCATTCTTTTTTTAACTTTATTTATTTATTTTGAGAGAGAAAGAGGAAGCATGCATGGGGGAGGGGCAGAGAGAGAGAGAGAGAGAGAGAGAGAGAGAGAATCCTAAGCAGGCTTTGGTCTATGAGCGCAGAGCCCGACGCAGGGCTCGAACTCAACAAACCCTGAGATCATGACCTGAGCTGCAATTAAGAGTCGGACACTCAACCAACTAAGCCACCCAAGCACCCTATGATTTCATTATTTCTGATCACTGAGTAATATTCCATTGCATATATATACCACATCTTCTTTATCCATTCATTATTTGATGGATATTTGGGCTCTTTCCATAATTTGACTATTGTTGATAGTGCTGCTATAAACATTGGGGTGCATGTGTCCTTTCGAATCAGCATTTTTGTATCCTTTGGATAAATACCTAGTAGCGCAATTGCTAGGTCATAGGGTAGCTGAATTTTTAATTTTTTGAGGAACTTCCATACTGTTCTCCAGAGTGGCTGCACCAGTTTGCATTCCCACCTACAGCAGAAGTGTTCCCCTTTCTCCACATCCTCGCCAACATCTGTTTTTTCCTGAGTTGTTAATTTTAGCCATTCTGACAGGTGTGAAGTGGTATCTCACTGTGGTTTTGGTTTGCATTTCCCTGATGATGAGTAATATTGGACATCTTTTCATGTGTCTGTTAGCCATCTGGATGTCTTCTTTGGAAAAGTGTCTATTCGTGTCTTTTGCCCATTTCTTCACTGGATTATTTGTTTTTTGGGTGTTGAGTTTGATAAGTTCTTTATAGATTTTGGATACTAACCCTTTGTCTGAAATGTCATTTGCAAATATCTTCTCCCATTCCGTCAGGTACCTTTTAGTTTTGCTGATCGTTTCCTTTGTTGTGCAGAAGCTGTTTATCTTGATGAGGTCCCAATAGTTCATTTTTGCTTTTGTTTCCCTTGCCCCCAGAGACATGTCAAGTCTGAACTTGTTGTGGCCGAGGTCCAAAGAGGTTGTTGACTGTTTTCTCCTCTAAGATTGTGATGGTTTCCTGTCTTATATTTAGGTCTTTCATCCATTTTGAATTTATTTTTATGTATGGTGTAAGAAAATGGTCTAGTTTCATTTATCTGCTTGGCTGTCCAGTTTTCCCAATACTATTTACTGAAGAGACTGTCTTTTTTCCATTGGATATTCTTTCCTGGTTTGTTGAAGATTAGTTGATTGTGATTTCACTCATATGTGGAATTTAAGAAACAAAACAGATGAATATAGGGGAAGGGAAAGAAAAATAAGATAAAAATAGGGAGGTAAACCATAAGAGACTCTTAAGTACAAAGAACAAATTGAGGATTGCTGGAGAGGTGTTGCATGGGGGGAATGGGCTAAATGGGTGATGGGCATTAAGGAAGGAAGGCACTTGTTAAGATGGGCACTGGGTTGTGTAAGAGATGGATCACTAAATTCAATTCCTGAAACCCTTATTACACTATATGTTAACTAACTTGGTTTTAAGTTAAAAAAAAGAAAGAAAGAAAATACTGTTTCAAATCATCTGTCCATGATATTGACTAGCTCCAGGTGTTTTTTTAATTTATTTTTTAATGTTCTTTTCTGATTATACACATTTGTGCTACTACTGTAACATTTTAAATCATTTTTTGTTCCCCATGAAATTCATTGTATAAAGCTCAGAAAAAAAATGGTCCCATAATCCCATCACAGATACTGTCTTATGTGTTCTATTTTAGACTTTACCATGCTTGTGTAAAGAATTCCCCCCAAATTGGACTCTTGCTGTAGATATTCTCATAACTTTTTTCACTCAATAGTAGACCATGTACATCACCAGTACATGAGTAAATATTGATCTCATAGAGCAGTACTGTCCAGTGATTTACAGGCATGAATTCTGAAGTCAGAGACCTGAGTTTGAATCCATTTCTGTCACTTGCCAGCTATAGCCTTAATTAATTCACCTATCAAATGAAGATAATGATAACACATACATTATAGGGTTATGAGTATTATATGAGATGAAGTATGTCAAGGACTTAGAAGTATCTGACACATGGTAAATAAATTTTAACAATTAATAATAATGTTGGGAACTATAATCTTGTATTTTATGTGTATACCACAGTGTATTCACCTCTTTTATATTAATGATAATTTAGATATTGGGCATTTAGGTTGTTTACAATTTCTCAGTATTATAAAACAAGTCTGTAGTATGTATCTTTGTGTACTAGATGGCAACTGTATATCTTTGGCGACTAGATCTTTGTGTACTGCCTTATTTCCTTAGGATAAAATCCTTAGGGCATAAAATTGTTGTGTCAAAAGGAATGTATATTTCTAAAGTTTTTAATAGTATTTCTAAATAGCCCTCCAAAAAAGAACTCTGACTCCAGCATCCTGTATTGTTGTTGAGAATGACTTATCTTGAGTCATCTTTCTTTTTTTTTTTTTTTTTTAATTTTTTTTTTTTCAACGTTTATTTATTTTTGGGACAGAGAGAGACAGAGCATGAATGGGGGAGGGGCAGAGAGAGAGGGAGACACAGAATCAGAAACAGGCTCCAGGCTCCGAGCCATCAGCCCAGAGCCCGACGCGGGGCTCGAACTCACGGACCGCGAGATCGTGACCTGGCTGAAGTCGGACGCTTAACCGACTGCGCCACCCAGGCGCCCCTTGAGTCATCTTTCTAAGTGGTATCTTTAAAATTCTTATTATGGCTACCTACGTTGATATATTACAGGACAATTAAGTCATAATATTCATATATAATACAGAGTATTTTTAAAAAGGATCATCTGGTTGCCCTTGAGCCTCCATTAGTAGAGTATAAAAGATTTTCCTTGTAGAAGAATGTTTTGTTGTAAGTCTTCTCATCTTATTAAAATAACATAGCTGTGCCAAATTTTTAACCTTTGGTAGATACCAAGTTTGGATAATTTGTTAGTGGCCTTTTTAAAATTCATTAACAAAAATTGGGAGTTTGTTTTTAATACAGCATGCTACTTCACCAAATTTGATTACTGAAATGTTATGTGAGTTCGATTTCTCTTGAACATAGAAAAGAGAGGGCAGATATAAAAATTTATTTACGAAAGTGTAGCTTCCTCATGTTCCTAATGATAAAGCTTCCCCGGGGGTAAGCATAACTTATCTATGAGGCCCTGACATATGGCATTAGCATATTGCAGTCCTGCTAGTCAAGTTAAAAACAAGACTTGTTCTCTTTAAAAGTTAAAAATATTTTTCTTCACAAAAGATTGACCACTTATTTCCAACAGGAAAGGCATGTTTTTCCATTTTTTAACAAAATTTTCAATGAAACTTAGTTTTCATTGTGTTCAAATTTTTTTTTAGCAAATCCATGCATGGTCTTGATAAAATTTGCAGTGTAGGCAATATGAAGAAAAACATAAAAATAAAAATCACTTAAATCCCAGTGCCCTGTAGTAAAGGCTCATAACATTCTAGTGACCACTTAGCATGCATCATGTATTTTTTCATGTATCTTAAATGCATCATGTATTTTTTCATGTATCTTAAATGCATCATGTATTTTTTCATGTGTCTTAAATGAGGTAATCTTTTAAAAATTGTGATAAAATACAACATCAAATTTACTATTTTAACTATTTTAAATATTTTTAACGTTTACTTATTTTTGAGAGAGAGAGAGAGACAAAGACTGAGCAGGACAGGGGCAGAGGGGGAGACAGAACCTGAAGCAGGCTCCAGGCTCTGAGCTGTCAGCACAGAGAGCCCGGACACAGGGCTTGAACTCACAGACCACGAGATCACGACCTGCGCCAAAGTTGGATGCTTAACTGACTGAGCCACCGAGGCGCCCCTGTCTGTTTTAACTATTTTTAAGTGTACAGTTCAGTGGCATTCAATACACTGAGGTCGTGCAACCATCACCACCATCCATCTCCAGAACTCTTCATTTTCCAAATTGAAACTTTGTACTCATTGAGCCAGTGGCTACCCATTCTCCTCTCCCCCAGTCCTTGGCAACCACAACCTATTTTGTTTTACCTTCTGTTGCACTATAGTTTCATACATAAAAGTGCATATACCACAAGTACACTGGCAACCAAAAAACAGGATGAGGAAGGGAGTATTTGTAAGTGTTAATATGGAGGCTCTGTTTTTCTTTGCAGAGCAAGTTGCCAGCTCTAATAGTACAGATTTACCTTCTCTTAAGTGTCACATTATTTCAGTTGATAATTTTCTGTTGACTGGCTGGGGACTAGCTCAGAGCTAGCAAGTGTCACCCAGAGCATAATAAAGCACTGTGTAGTAATGCGTCACAAGACTGTTTTTGCATAGAGCTTAGCCAAGGCTTTTGGAACCGCCCTCAGTTGCACCTTGTGCTATATTAGTACTTCTCAGACAGGAAGAATTTTCTTTCGCTGGTGTAGCTGGTCCGGTTACTTCCAGGGTAAGTGTGTACAGTTCATGGAAACAAATGAGTTTCTTTTGTTTAACTTTATCTTTTATTTGGTTCAGTATCTTGGTGAAGTTTCAGGCATTTAAAAATACAAATTAAGGAAATAAAAATAGAATAAAGCAGTATAATGCAAAACTTTAACATTTGCAAAGATATGAATATGTATAACCTTGCAGTGCTTTGGGTCTCAGAAATTACAGTTTATAGGATCTAATTTTAAGAGCTTCTTGTTTCACATATAAATGTTAACTAAAAGCAAAGTACCCTCAGAAATCTCTTCTCAAAGGGGAAAAAAAAAAACATTGTAAGATCCAATTTTGTTGTTCATTTAGTTGCTCTGTGACTTAATTTTGCTGATTGCTATGCTCTGTGTCCCTAGGATTAGGAAGCATTTATTATGGCTAGTAATAAAGATAATTTTTATTACATGCCTGTGAGTTTTAGCCAAGATATCATGGAGTGTAATTATATTGGTGTGTTTTAGGAATTGATAAAAGCTGGATCACAATCTCTAAGGTTTATAACAAATTGTATATTGAAAATTAAGATTCAAACATATATTAGTGTAAAAGCCTAGAATGTTATGGTTAACTTAGATTTAAATAATTGAATTTACCTTATTTTTTATAGTTTTTTTTCTTTTTTTTAATCGGGAAAATTAGGTAATACAGCATACCATTTCTTAAAGCAATTTACTTGGTTTTTATTGGCAGTGTATATCCAAGCCCTGCATCCCTGGATATTGCTTACCACCTATGCTGTTGTTCTAGGACAAATTCAAGGACAGAAGAACTCAGAGTACCCTTAGGGTAATCAGTATAAATTACTTAATTTCCATGTGCCTTGGTTTATTCCTCTTGAAAAATGCTATTAGATATTAAGGCAGTGGGGGTGGGAGGATATATGAATAAATTCTAAGCTCTGAAATTGTGTATCTTCTTAAGTGTCCATAAAAGTCTGACCGAGAAGCCAAGTTTTACTATTTAAGGAAATTGGTATAAATTCCCAATTTTTAAATAACTAGCCTTTGAAATCTATTTTTCTTCTATCTCCTTCTCTTCCTTTCCCACCTTTTCCTATTCCGTTTCTTTTTTCTTTCTCCCAACAGGCTTAGGAAAGACCTGAGAATGTTCAGTTTCATTTTTGCTTTATGTCTGTATCGAGAAAGTTTCACTTTCTAGTTTGTGTATATTTTTTTCACTGCTGCCTTGAAAATCTAATTAGGGAGAATTATTTAAATGCTGCATGAAACTGATGTACAATGCTACTGAAATAATAAACTTACAGTTTTATTCCGTGTCCTAAGAAAGTGTCATTATTAAAAACGTAAGCTATATCATAAGTAATACAGGTTGCTGGAAAAGTGTAGCAAAAATGGATTCATTTGGAAATTTAGTACTGTTGCTGATTGATACCCTGTCCATATTATAGTCATACGCATCTTATGTAAGTAGTGTGCAGTTTCCCATTCAAACTTTCTTTACCTTATTCTTGTATAGTGTAAATGTTTCTGCAAGTATCACAATTAAAGCAGCCTCACAACTTTTTAAACCAATGTTAATGAATTTAATCTTGTTCACTTTTCCTGTAAGACAGAGTCAAGTAGGCCTTTAAAAAGTATTCAGTTTGCCTTCAGATACTTTAAAACTTGTATAAAGGCAAGTAAATTTTTTCATATAGATGTAGAAATTTTCAGTCATTGATTTGTAAATATCTTTCCAAGGTAAAGTTAATGATCTCAGAAGGAAGTAACCATGATAGCTAATTCAGTTACCCAGTTTGTGCTATTCAAGCGAAGTTCTTACCTCTTGCTTCAGATTCTTTGTAATAAACACTGTTAGCGCAGAGACCTTAACCTCATAGTGAAGGCACACAAAGTAATTATTCCAATTTCCACATTTTCCAGTCCACATTTAAAATTCCAAAGACTTTGAAACTTCAAAACTTCCCGTGAAGAGAGTTCATAGTTGCAGGGTAGTATTTTCTATTTTTGAACATGTCTTCTACACTTGATGTGTTTTTTCCAACAGCTCTTCTCTTGAAGCATCTGCAACAGATGACTGTTGGCAAAGTAAGCCAGAACATTATATACCAAGTATAGGCTTACAAGCCTATTGGTTTAAAAATACCCTGCCCTAATTTTCAATGTCTTCCTTAGAATAGTGCCAGAATGCTGGCATTTATGCCTTAGTCTTTACACTTTTGTAATGATAGAAACAATGGGGTGATTTTTGTATTAGGACAACAGTATCACTTTATGTGATATTATCTCTGAACAAGGATACATTCTGGTCAGATTGCCAGTGAGAATTGGGGAGAGCAAGGATGTTCAGTTGAAATTTACATGGTATCCATAAACTATTAGGTTTACTTATCAAAAATATGTCCTAAAATTGGCCATTGTCAAATTTCTGTTTGTGTTTTTTTTTAATAAAATATGAAGAGACCATGAGAAAGACAGTTACTTTTTCAAATAACACTGGCTTTTTTTTCCTTTTCTTTTATTACTAAACATAAATGCTCCAAAAAGAGCAAAATTGGGGGGTGGGGTGGTGAAGAGGAATGGGCTGCCTGGCTCTGTAACAAAAACATCTGAGATTCCCAGATATTAAAATGTATTCTGCACTGCTTGACTTCTCTTTTCCTTTGGGTTTTTCAGATGTTTCAGGGTACATGGTGTTTTTGTAAACTCTACGGTACTTTATTTTTTTTT